TATGTCATCATGAAGTGGAAGCCTGTACATGACTTTTGCTCAAAAGTGCAGAAAATACTAAGAGCTACAGTAAAGATAAGGCTCTACACAAAGGAATAAGATGCTTATGCCATCACCACCAACTCTTCCTCCTCTAGGAGGAGGCAGGCATCCTATCAGATCTCAAGGGGACACATAGAACCCTTCTTCAGAAGTATTTATCTTAGTATCATAACACACGGAAACTGTCTTAGGATTGTATTAAGGAACAGTTTTCACAATTTGCAATTACATTTTATAATTTAAGTAATTATTTCTATAGGCAATTAGCTTGTTTAGAAATTGATGTCCATTTCTGTACCTGCACATACTTGAAATAAAAATTACCAATTCATAACACTACTACCACCACCACTGGCTATAGTGGGAAATTTTCTTCCCTGCTACTCACAAACTGCAGAAGCACATTATATTTAGTTTTAACTTAAGACAACATATCTATTTCTAAGTATGACTTTCGTTGGCCTAATTAACATTAGCCTCCCAACACTGAGTAATGCAGATGACACTTAGTTTAGCTAATTTAGCCCTGGGACAAAGATGAGTTTACAGTGTAACTTTACATACCAAAGCTTCTTCCTTTGATGTAAAACTAATTATGATGTCTAGAAAGGTATACAGCAGAATTAAAACTGGATTATAAATAAGGAAAATATGCAGAAATAAAGCTAACTCATTCAATCAAAATTCTCTACAAGCGAGAACAAGAAATTTGTTTTTCCTAATTCTAAAATGCTCTATATGTCTCAGCTGATTTTAGAGGGTTATTTTTAAACTTAAGCTGTATCTGTGTAAAGCTGCAATAATTTCTCCAGAACAAAGTCTATGGAGAAGGATACCCAAACACGTTCCTATAAAATATCATGGGGGGCACCTATCAGATTGGTGTGTTCTAACTGCATTCTTTTGAAAACTGATGACTTAAATGCTTTTCTGAGTCAAATTCTTTATTAACTTTAACAATGAGAATAAATCTCTCTTTACTCCTCAAAGTCAGTTTACTTTCATGAAACTTGAGGAAACACACTTTGACTTGCATTTGTCAGTAAACTGCAAGTAGACTGCTATTTGTCAGTAAACCGAAGGTGCTCAGATTCTAAGCTGAAATCACAAAAGGCGTTCCCCTATATTCCTCTTGAATTGCCCACAAAAAGTTCTAGCAAATCAAAGAAAAGCATCTAACTGCTTTTGAAGTAACAGTCAATATGTATGATATATAATATTAACAAATATTATACCTTATTCCCAGTTACTTTACTCAATTCAACAAATGGTAAAAAAGTATTAGGGCCCTTACTAGCTACTATAATTATCAATAATCCATTGCAAAAAACTTCAGTTATGTTTCACAGCAATTTGCAGGTGGCTCACTTGAAGTTTCTACATTCAGTTATAAACAAAACAAAGTTAAAAGCTGTGAAGCCATTAGAGAAACAGCAAGTGCAATGAGCATTAGATTAAGAAAAAATCTCTTTAGGCAATTTGATGCGATGCAGACAAGTAGAAGCTCTAAGACCAAGACCTACTGACAGTATCTCTCCCTCAACAGACACTCATGGCTTTGCTCACATAACACTGACAGTCAGAAGACACACAATTTATTTAACAAGACAAATTAAAACACTAGACTTCAATAAAATTTCATAAAATATATTTCTGTTGAATTTTGAACATGTTTATTCCATAACTTATCCGTTTGTTAAACATGACCAGAACCTAGCTAACATGCTACACACATAAGTAGGAACAGTTTAATACCTCTTAATCCTTTAATACAGAATATATACATACACCAAATACAATACTCTTCAGTAAAGTTCAAACTGCAATTACATTTTATAGTGACCCAATTCTCTACATATTTGTGTCAAATTAACAAAACTACAAATACAGTCAAGGCTAAAAGTAGAAGTTGAAATAAGGTCATCATGTCTTCTAGACAAGATGTTCTCAAAATTATCTCTTTTCACTCAGATAAGGGTAGGTCCATCAAGCAAGAGTTTTTCCCATGTTAGCCCATTTTTCAAAACTGGGCTCAACAAAATGAAAAATACTATTTGTAGTGGTTTTATTATTTAATTTAGAAATTACCTGCACAACTCCGCTCTCTACATTGTCTTAATTTATGTCTCGGAAATCTGATCACACAATTTCAAGCCCAGAAGGGTGGGGGTCATGTAGTGCTGGAGAAAGGGAAGCGTCCTCCACAAAAGTCTCAGGGGATTTTTGTCTATCAGTTTTGTCTGGAGTTTGCACTAAGAGCATCTCTACAAGCTATGGAGATCACAAGGGGTCCAAACAGGCATTTTCCATCTTGAAGTATTCCACCCCACCTTGTTTCATAGAACGCCACTAACAAAATGAATGGGAAACAACTAGTAGATCATATCACCTGTTATCTGCCAAGACAAATTATCTTATTCAACCTATATTATTTGGCAAAAAAAAATTTTAAAAAATCCAAATGTCCAAATTCACAGGCAAATAATTTGCTTTACAAAAGAGTGGGTTTTTTGGCACCAGGGCGGTGAGATCTTCACCAATAATCAGCTGAAGATCTCCATGATTCATGGCAGAAGAACCAACTTTGACAGAAGAGAAGATTCAAAAATCAAATCTCCCTTCAATCCTATTGCCAGGAATGAAAAGCTTTGATCTTTTTTCCCTTCATGAAAACACAGTGAAGAGAGCTTACGTTTTTCAGATACAAACGACTGCTTTCTTTCCATTTCAGAGAAACCATATAATTCCATAAAGATCCTTCACTCGAAGGAGAGGGTATACACTTGAGAGGATTTTAACTCAATCTACTCATAGAACTAAGTGCTATTAATAAATATGTCTACCTTCATTCTCACATACGTTTATGTAAACTACTCTATTCTCAACTTCTCCCTCCCCCCGCCCTCCCCCCAAGGTTTGCCTGTTACCTTCTTAATGATACTACAGCTGCCCTTAAGGTGACAAACAGAAAACGCTAACAGCCTTTCTTCTTTACTTTCCATGAATTAGTATGTTGATTTAGTATGTTATACTCATCCAAAACCTTGAAAAAAACATCCTGCCAAAATCTGACTTTCACAAGTGATTTACTTTAGTATTTGATCTTTGCAGTATCTCTAACTCCTCAACCTTAATTAAATAACATTTTATTACCACATCCGGAAAGCAATTCAAAATTTGAGTATTTTTCCAAACTGGCTGAATAGATGTCCTTAACTTTTAAGTCATCAGATTTCATTTCACTTGGAAAGTTTGAAGTCTTAACGGCTTTGCCTAATGAGTTATTTGACAGCTGATACAGAAATAATGTTTTGTTCAATTAAGGAAAAAACCTTCAGAAAGGTATTTCTTGTAGTGCTAACATAATACAATTATATGGGAAATAACATTTGGATACAGATATATTGCTTAAGAAGCTTCATTGCTTTAAGAGAAGCTGTGCTGATTTATTTCAAAACATCACTGCAAGTCAGTCACATTACTGTCTTTGAAATAGGTAAGGAAGATTTGTATGACAAAATAAATCTTAGTATGACTCAAACCCTTGCTGTTGTTTAAGGCAAGATCAAACCAAGTAGTTCAACCCCAAGAGAGTTGTTAGAAAAAACATACCCCTAAACCTTCACATCAAAGTTGATTTCACTTCTAATGAACTACAACTGTGTGTACTATATAAAAAAGCCACTTTTCTGAACTCAGCAGTCATCAAGCACATGCTGGCTAGGCACGTATTAAGTAGAGAATTACCAGCTACGACAATTGCTATATAGAGCGGTATAATGTTGTAACAGCAGCAGAAACACTTCAGAGAAAGCAGGAGCTTCCATTGTTTCAGCAGAGCACTACACATTGCCAAATGTAGTATTATGCAAGTATCCCACAAACACTGTAACTATCCATTACATGTATCAGAAATAATGCTTACAACAGTAATTAATGTATGACATCCCCCAAAACATAAGGCTTATGCTTGATGATGAAGAAATGAAAACCACACCGTTGAAGGAAACAAGTAACCAGTCGCGTACACCGGCACACTGGTTTAAAGCCATAATACTGGTAAAAGCTTGCTATGTTTGCTGTATCTGTGTAATAAATTCAGACAACTGTCACTGTCTTTGTTGTCTGCAGATGATTTTGCCCACAGTACAAACACTCCCATTGCAACATTTCCTACAGGCCATCTCCTTCCCTAGCTTATCCTGTCCCAGAAGTTCCTATGTTCACAGCAGTAAGAGTTTCACTCTGACTTCTCAGAAATCTGATTTGCAGAGTATGAGCACAGTATTTCATTTCTCTGGATTTTTAGAGCTGTATGTTTAATTAATCCCTGATCCAGATGAGTAAGATACACCTCTTCATTGCATCTCACAATATGAGACCAAGGAAGGGAAAGAAGTGGCACCCAGTGAATTCTCAGAGAGGATATTTAACGTAGATGACTGTACACTAGCCTTGTTCAGTGTACCATTTTTGTAAGCGCCCATTATGCCACCTGTCAAGGACAGAATATTGGGTAAAGACTGACCATTTTAATCAAGCCAGTTTATTGGAAAATTTTTTTTAATACTTTTAATCTACAGTATACGAATACATACTTGTATTTATTTGAACATGACAAAGAAAAGTCATCTGTCATCTGAAGGATGCTTCTAAAAAGTAGTAAACAACAAACTTGTTGACACAAATAAACATCTATTTTAAATACACTGTTTCTAAATTTGCAGCAGACTTTTCCTGTATTCTAAGAATATCTACTTAGTGGTACGGACCAGAATAAGTTATATTCTGTTATCCAAAATTACTATTATTAAAGTTATTATCTATCCCCTCTACTCAAGTAATTTCTACCCATTCCCTGTCAGGTTAGATAACACAGATTATCACATGAAAGCGGATGTATCCTCCATTGTATGTGACAGAAATTCAAAAAATTACAAAATGTAATGCAAACTTACCAACTCTATTCCCTGTGGAAAAGGAGTGTCTTCCCAGTCCTTCTGAGGAAATCTTTGTATTATTTTTCCCAAACCTTCTGTTGGGCCTGCTGAAAGATAAAATTCAATTACTTAAAGGCAAACTGGTGAAATTTAAATCACCATAAGTTTGAGAATGTTTTCAGAATATACACAATATTAGGAAATTTTTGCGACAAGAGGCAGAACAGGCTCCTCAAATGTGTCTTCTAAGTCATATAATAAATACAACCTTAATATTCTCTCTAGTAACACAAGGAGACACTACATGAAATTAAGCTGCAAGCTGCATCCAGCCTATGCCCATCGTGCTTGTTTTCAAACCAAGATGATTACTAGTAATTCTTGTCTCTCTCTACAAACAGTAGTAAACTAAAAACAAATATAATGCATAGTCATATTTAAAAAGAGAAATCAAACATTTGTCAACAAGTGGTCTTCAAAAAGAAGTCTATAGATTAAAAATCCACATGATTTATCCAGAACACTCTAGTTTCTTGCCAGTATTTCCAGTTGGTTTCCTTGGACAAGTCAGCAGTGATTTTCTACACAGGAATGTGTAGAGAAAAACTGCTAATTTCTGGTAACTTCTCTGATGCAATTGCCTATTTTTTACTCCCTCCTTTTTTTAAAGCCACAGTACTACAGATAGGAAGTCGTTCAGAAACACCACAAATATCCAATTGTAGTGTCCTGTCATCCTGAATGGTACAGGAATGCACATACAAACATGAATTTGTTCTTCACCTGCTGAAGTTCTGGAGTAAACATTGAAAAAATCCTAACTTTTTTTTACTGAATTTTAGCTCTGGGATACACCACAATATAATGCGGCAAAGCGAAAGAACTTTCTTCACTAATCAATACTATCCTGAAGGAACGTTGAAAGCTAGCACCATTTTGAACTGAGCCACTACACAACATAAAGCACACAATCAACAGCCTTCAACTTATGTTTTCCGCATTTAAAGCATGGTAAAATAGTGGGAAGAACGATCTTTTCTCTTGCACAAATCTTGCCTTTTCCTACAGGAAGAAAAAAGCAAATTCTCTACTTTACTTATATTACAAAATATACCAAACAAATTGAAAAACTAATATTATTCTGATTTCTGAAAGAAACTGCTTTAACGTGGCCAAGTATTTCACCCACACATCAAAGACCTGTTTAACATTCCATACACATTTTAAACTCAAGATTTCTGTGGCAACATCACCTATCCGTCAATCTTCACTCTAGCAATTTCTGCATCTCTTGGATGATTTCAATGTAATGTCAGAGGCAAGCAGACATAGAACACCCAATCACTGGGTAGAGACAAGAGGTTCAAACTCCTGTTCTTTCCCGTACTCCGCAAAGAAGGAAAAAGCAGCAGTGCTGGACAGTTACCTCTTCTGTGAGGCAGCACCCACCCAGGAGATCAGCCGTTACACTCAAACTGACCACGCAGAGCACACACATCACTAGACTACCACCATATTTGCATTCCCTTAACCAGTAAGAGGATCATAGGATAAACAGGTTAGATAAGGAAGCACGCTGGTATGACTGCAAGCATAGATAAAAGTTTGATTTAACACAAAAACAGATACTGAGGAAAACAGTTTTCATGAAACTATACATAAAGCTTCCTAAACAGCAAAGTTGAAATTTGCAACCATTTAAAATATCTTTTAATAGTTTTAATAATCTATGCTGACCCATCATTCAATTGGATCACTCGTTCTCTAAAGTTGTATTACAATACTTCGAGATTAAAAGTTTTAAAACATTTTCTTATGAAATTCTCAAAGCTACACTTTGATACTATGAAACAGTACAAATTCTGCATTAGTAGCAGCAGTCCATATGTGTTGCTTCCTCTGCAGACATCCAAGCAGCAGCAATGAATACATTATTTTCCCAGCATTAGCATAAAAAACCATTTTCAGGCTGACACAACTCAAGTCTGCTAGCATAAAGCAATTCATAAATCCATGTTATGGTGGGGGAAAAAAAGTTTCCTTTAAGCTTCCTGCTAATTTACAGTTTGAGTTTGTTTCTATCTTAAAACCCACAATAAATTTTATAAGGCGTTCAGGTAGAATCAATCTGACAATTCAGTAAGAAGTATTTTTTCCAGTTGACGTATTTTTACATTTAACATTCTAAGATCTCCTCTTTAAGATAATTTAGGAGCAGATGTTCTTGGTACAGTGGGAATATAAACTACGTAAAGTAAACTTCAAAAGCAATCTCACCCCCAAGATAACACATACTGATTGCGATTCCCAAGGGCAGCATGCTGAAGAGCTGCAATCAGACTGGGTTAGCTACAAGATGTAAGTAGCAGTAAGAGATGTAATCAGCGAGTTAAAAGCCAAAGGAGGTATCATATTGAGAAGCTGCAGAGGTGCCGATAAAGCAGAGTTAGGATGTGCCAGAAACCAAGGAACAAATACAGACATAGCAACACCTGCAGTTTTTGTAAGCAAAGGGAGCTCCATATCTAATAGACTGCAAGAACTGAATAGGGCCACCAGTCACTGATTACGCTTCTTTAAGATCAAGCCTTGCCTCACATGTTCTTTGTTACGCAGCATCTTCTACTGAATTACCACTCCTCTCTCCCTACATTTCATCTCAACATCCTTCCAAAAATTAGGAGGCAAAATAGAAAGGCTTCACCATTCCCTCTCTACACAGCTCTAAGAGCAGTCACACACCTTCCCTGCTAAGGCAGGCAAACAGGCAAATGCATCCTGCATTCTTCCTTTCGTCTATAGACATCCACTCCGGGTTTTCTTCTGCTGTGTTAAAAAAACAACAACACAAAAAACCAACCAAACAAACAAACAAACAAAAGAAACCCCCACACCCAAAAAACCCACACACATATTAACCACCAAAAAAAAGCCCAACAGAACAGCTATATTTCCAACCAGATATGGCAGAAATTGATACGTATTTTGTTGCTAGCATGCAATCAGAACTTCCCCTATTAAGTCTCAAATTACCATGCTACTTGCTTTTCCTAAGTCCTGTCTTTGTTAAATCTCTTCTTCCCCTACTTGTTCTAACACTGGCAGGTGAAGCAAAGAGGAGACAGCAAACAAAAGCATCCAAGACAGCAGCGAGCTCCCTCTAATTAGAGCAGAATCTGTGGCTGAGAGGCCAACAGCAAGAAAGGGCAGGAGGACCAAGGTGAACAGAGATACCAAGACTTTCTGGAAAGGAAATATCAAAACAAAACCAGCATACAGCAGCAAAACTGTTCAGTCTCTGCTATCTGTAAGTCCCCTAAGTTTCTCTATGGGAACACAGGTGACAGGTTTGTTTTTTGTTTTTTGGTTTTTTTTTTTTACTCTGAGTCATCCCAATTCTCAAAAGACTGAGACCTCTGACACTACCAACTAAATCTATAAATAATGAAAACCAGAAAAGTAGCTCAAAATTTCTTCTCATTCACCACATATTTAAACTATTGATCCTTCTAGTTCTAGTTCTCTTTTTATTAGACTGATAAAAAGACACTCCTTACATTTCAGTATGGGAACTTTTAATTCAGAATTAAGAGACGTAACTTTTTTTTTTTTAATTTGTAATATTCACTCCTTTATGTCAAAACATTACCAGTCTTTTTCAGTTACTTTACTTGGAAGGCCACTAATGCTGGCAACCAGTGTTAAGAGACCTTACTGCATTAATTCCGTTTTACTTTCAAGAAGTATTATAAACCTCAGTAGGAATTTACCTGAAAGAAAAGTACTTCTGAACATTTTCCAAAAGCCAGACTGAACTTCTTATGCTACCTAAACTTGCACTTCAGTTCATCTCTGGGATCAAAGGGCAATCATTCCAAAACAACTAACAATTAAATGAAAGTTTTACATGCTGAATACATACCTTGAAATCATTATAAAATGTTCCAAGTACTATTTAGAAAAAATAATTTTGCACTTTTCTGCACAGCTATTTTCTCCTCTTTAAGTCTCATGTAAAACCAAGGTGAATCCTTCAACTAGATTTTTAGCACGGACCCTTAAATCGTTCTACTTCCAATTTGTTTTACTCCTCTCTACTACCAAACACAAACAGAGTTTCTGTACTACACACCTACATGCTTTGAATTTTCTTCCTCTGGAGTACTGAAGGCAGGTAGAGGATGCTTTCAAAACTGCGATCAACTGGATGCTTTATCACGGTCCAATTGAAGACATAGTTTTGAATCTAATTGCATAACATATCTTCATAAGTTACTAAATTTAGAAACAAGACATAGAAAGACATACAAATATTAATATGCATGAACCAGTTTGGGTGGCTCTTACTTCAGCAGGAAGTAAATGCTTTCAAAATAAAAAATGAGGAGCAGCAATAAGCTCGAGCTGCTTGGAGCCTGGTTCTAAACACTGCAAATAGTTTTATAAGCCCTTAAAATACAATTGAACATATCATCATATTGAATTATATTCTCCTTGTAGCTAAGATTAGATTACCATCAGTATAACAATAGTATGTGTTAAATCGCTCTAGATACTCAACAGATTCAGGAATAAGTCTTTAGCACTACTAGTAGATTTAGCTATTGATTCATTAGGTCTGCTCTCACCAGCTTTAAGTGTCCTCAAAGATAACTAGCAGGTTCTACACAGTATACATGAGATAGACAAAGGTTTGTTTATTAACAACTGGCTGCTTCATAGACCACCACTTATTGTCACAGGAAAACCAGTCTTGACTGGAATTGGTACTTCAATTTAATTTATTGCCAATTAAGATAAAGGTACTGATTCAGGTACAAAGACGATGATAAACAATTAAACAAACATTTGGGAACACAGCTTTCCTCTCCCTTCTCAGCCTTGACTTCAGACCGGCACTTCTCCTCTCCACTTCCCAATCTCCATTTCCCTTGTCGATCCATGCATCCCAATTCATTTGTCGAGGTGCTGGGCAGTGCAGGAGGTTGCGGTCATGCACACAGCGGTTTTATTCTGCTGTTTGTTCATTTTTTTCTTGTTTTATTCTTGCTTCTTGTTCATTTTCTTCTGCTCCAGCACAGATCTGTAGGCTATCATTCCTCCAGGG